CATAACAGTAGTTGCCATAGAGTCTCTTTCCTTGAAATATTTGAGTATAACTTCTTATACTGTAGCATCAAACTTTCTTAAAGCAGAACTGCTCCTCGTGATAGCAGATCCAATGGCAACTCATTTCTCTGCCTCAAGTTTTTATAGATGAACACCCATACATACACACACACACAGCTTTTGGAGTCCATGTTATTCTTAAACAAAGAAAGTCATCTTTGCTTAACATTTTTCTGTTTCCTGCTCCTCAATGACCACACTGTGTGTTGAATGAATAATAGTTAGAAAGCAGTGAAGGAAGTGAGCACAGGTACTGAGAAGGGTCCCACACACAGGTCTTCACTGTGTGGTCTGCTTCTCTCACAGTCTGTGTATCATGAACATCTTTTTTGTGTCACAGTCTTTTCTCTTTAGGGTGAATTTAGTAACCTGCAGGGACCCATCACAGGGCTGCACCAGAGTTCGCGTCTGTTGCCCCATTGCTGGGCAATGGTTTGTGCTTTCTGGGTGACCACACTGTGCTACGCCAAGGGGAGAGCACTTTATTCACCATTACCCTGACAGTCCTAGGCTCCTTCTGGCCTCTGGGATGAGGACGTGGGCCTGTGTGGCTCATACCTGTTCCTCTCAGGAGCAGACTGGTAGCAGAGAACAGGCGATTGCTCTGCGATGTCCGAGCAGGCAGCCCATGGTGAAAAAGTCAGCACGATTAGTGTAGGGCTCCTTGTCAGCAGCGGTGTCTGCACACAGGAGTCTGTGCCCAAACAGTCAGGGTGGACAGTTTAATCTACACACATCTGTGTGTCCTCCTGGGATCATTCTCTCTGTGTATATGTCAAGATCATCATGTATATCTAAAATGTACCAATTAACTTTATATATATATATATATATATATATAATTTTTCGGGTTCCAAGCTGAGTCCCGTTGTCCCTAAATACTGTTTCTGGGATTTCCAGGGTTTCCAAAATCGGAGGACGATCATGGCATAGCATTTGGAGAGAACCTACACACACCCCTCCGTATGTATCCATCTACCTCTACATGCCTGCAATTCTTAATAAAGTATAAATATTGTGTGAGTGGTTGTTATGCTGTACTGTGTTGTTTAGGCAGTGAGAAGAAAAAATTGACATGATCATTACAGATGTAGTTTTTTAAAATGCTTTGCATCTGTAATTTGCTGGATTTTTCAGGCATAGGGCTAGTGATGTGGAGGCCAATTGTTTTTTTTAGGCCTTTTGATACGTGTACTTATCTTCCTCTCTAGGAAGTTTGTACAAAGTCTGAGTCCTACAACAGATTACAGTTAAGATTATGTTTTATTTAATTTTATTTAAGGAGAAAAAGAAAAAAACAGAAAAAGGGAACAAGTTCTACAGAATTTCAGAAAAAAATAAACAGTAGGAAATGACTAGTTAATAGATTACATATTGTCATCTTAGAAATAGTTGTTCAAGTTACAAAATTAAAGCATATAAACTGGACATTCAAACAGTGAAACTGCAAACAGTTCTGTTCAATGATCCAACAAAACTCAGTAACATGGTTATTTATCTTATACACTTAAATATATATGTAGTTATATCCTTTAGAGCACTTTCTTTTCCTCTATTTTTTACAATGACAATTACACATTTTGGGGTTTATTACTCCCACAGTTCTTATTATTTTTTTGAAGAGAATAAAACCAAATGTGACGTAACAAAACAGAATCAGTCAAATCAAAAGAATGGACATAATGCATAATGTAAAAACAGAATACAAGGTGATCAACAATGGTTACCATAATGCCTCTTGCTATCTTAAAAACAATTGCTTATATCATCAGTTATAATAAAATTGAACAAAACAGTAAAGCATAAAACCAATAAAACCAAAACATTGGAGACATTACAGGACCTCAAAAGAAGATAATAGTCAAACCAGAATGGGCATGAATCTTACTGTCTTCACAGTTGTTGCCTATATTTTCAAACTTGGTACTATCAAGCAAAACAGAATAGAGGAAAATCAGTCAAAACAAGATGGTGAGAGCAATACAGGGTTTCAAATCAAGCTAATAAGAAATCAAAGTGGGTTACTATAATATATCATGCTATTTTTTATTTATTTTTCCCTTAATTAAAAAGATAAAAATAAAAAAGTAAGTAAAAAAGGAGATGGAGATAAAAGAGGACATAACATAACAGCACAGGTCAGAACATAACCATTTAAGCAAAATAGTGTTTCACCACAAGATATCCCAACATAAAGTAGTTACCATAGTGTCACTTTCCTTGAAATCTTTGAGTATAACTTCATATACTGTAGCATCAAACATATCAAGACAATGTAAAACCATTCAAGAGAATGAAAGTATTACAGGATGTTTAGAACCAACTAACAGAAAATGAACAATGGTTTCTGTATAGTCTTCTTGTCTATAAAGGTTTTTGTTTATATTATCACATATAATAAAATCCAATAAAATACAACATGTTAAGACCGATGAAGACAGAAGAACAAAAACTTGATGGGACTTCAAAACAAGATGATTTTAAATCAGCACTAGCTATTATGATGTCTTGTTTTCTCCAAAATAGCTGTTCCTACCATCCAAACTTCTTTGCCTCATTTCTGTTGAGCTCTTTTTTTGTCATTAGTTGTAAGTTTGTCTTCTTCATTTCGCTTTCTGCTCCATTCATTGTGGCCTCTCTGCCACTGTTTCTGGAATCTTGGTATTTTTCTTTTTTAGAATGTCCTGCAGTATTCTCTGTAGAGTTGAATTGGTGGTGCAAATTCCCCTAGTTCCTCTTTATCCTGGAAATCCCTTGTTTCTCCACTAATTTCTAGGGACAGTTGTGCAGGATATATCAATGTTGGCTGGAGGTTATTATCTTTCAAACTTGAATTATTTCCCCCCATGCACTTTGTGATTTGATGGTTTGTGCCAAGAAGTCTGCTGTAATTCTGATGGGTGTTCCCTTGTAAGTGATCTGTTTCTTGTCTCTGATGGCTTTTAATATTCTGTTCTTATATTGGATTTCTGGAATTTTGATTATTATATGCCTGGGTGTTGTTCTGTTTGGATTGTAGGTTACTGGGGTCCTGTATGCCTCATACATCTGAGTATCTTTACCTTTTGCTAAATTAGGGAAATTCTCCTGGATTATTTCTGTGAATAGCCTTTGTAATTCATTTGTTTGTGTCCCTACTTCTTCCTTTACGTTCTTATTTCTTAAGTTATAGATCCTCTTATCATCTTCTAGCCTCTGTATTATTGCTGTTTGTTTCCTTGTTATTTTTAAGAAGTTTGTCATTTCATGCTCCTGCATTGCAAATCTGTCCTCCAGTTCAGATGATCTATCCTTAGTTTCTTTCAAGCTGTTATGCCAGCTTTCAATAGAGTTTTTAGTTTCCTGATAATCTCTTTGAACCTGCTTCATATATTCTATGTTTCCCTCTATTTTCTCCATCAAACAATTCTCCCCTTTTTTTCTGCTCTTCCATTCTACCTTCTGTTTTTTCTTGGGTGGTGCTTAGCATTTATCTAACTATTCTACTTATATTTTGCTTTACTTCATTAAATACTTCATTTTTTGAACTCATCTATGAGGCTCTGGAGATATCACTTTATGTCTATTGGTGCCCTGTCTGATATTGCATGTTTTCTGTCCTCATCCTCCTTTGCATTTACATTTCCTGGATCAGTGTTCTCAGGATTGGGGGCTGCAGACCCTTTCTTGTAGCCTCTTCTTCTCATATTTTTTGTTCCTTCCATACAGGTGTATATAGGAGGCCCAGTTTCTTTCTTTGTGGGTTACACTTTGTTTGAATCTACCAGCTAGGTGTTCCCACCCACTCCAGTGTACCTGGGAGACACAGACCAGTGACAGTGTATGCTGGTCCCACCCCTCCAGGTCAACCTACTGAAGGCTTCACTATTTTAGGATGCACTGCCAGGCATGGAGACCTGGTTTGGGTTAGTTTACTAGGTCTTAGTCCATGGCTTCAGCCAGGTCAGGCACTCCTCACCAATCCCACTTGAGAGGGGAATATGCGACTAAAGTCTCTGCAGCATCCTGTTCCAGCTAGTCTGCCCGGTCCCAGAATGTCCTCTGTTGGAGCCTCCTAGTCTATGGAAGGGTCCCCGTTCCTCTCACTCACCACAGGTTGATGCAGAGCTCCCCACCAGTTATGCTCCTAATTCAGTTCACCAATTCCTGCTCTCAGAGCCTTTGCGTCTCTCTCCCTGCTGTGCCGATTCAGACACAGCAGCAACAGCAGGAAATTCAAATCACGGTTTCCAGAGGCATGGGTTCCAGCTTCGGTGCTGAGATTTTATCTGTTCTGGTCATAGCATTGGGATTACATTTCCAGTTGGTTTCTCTCAGCTTAGGTCATTCCTGGGTCGGCAGAGTATCTCTCCCCTTGCTTAGGACTCCTCACACTGCACCATTCCTGGATTCTAAACTGGCTATCTTAGAGAGCCTCTGTAGCTGCTGTTATCTATCCACTATGTTCTCCCGGAAGTCTAATATTATGTTTGAAAGCTGAAATGTTTTTCAAAGACCTGTATCTAATTGAAGTTATATAAAATATACTTGAAATCAAATGCTACTCAGAGTAAATATTAGAAATAGAAAAAGAAAAAGCATCATTTATGGAGTTCTTAACCATCTGAGAAATTCCATATGAAATAACTTTGGCCATTTGATGTATATTAGTCTTGTGAATGTATGTTTCCATTACGTGATTTCAATAGGGGCATTTGGTATAAGACACACAGACAGGAGATTTAAGATACGTTATATCATTTTTAGAAATAGGGAATGGATTATTGAATCAATTAAGTCAGAATGACCTCCAAAAATATCACTGGGGCACTCCCTCTCCCTGGCACCCTAGAGCAGAGGTGTCACCCTTCCTCTGACGCCCCATAACAGGCACTTTGTGTCACTGAAAGCTCTAAAAGATTCAAGTCACTACCCTAGTGTTAAATAATGAGTGACAGTCATTGTATTCAGAAGCTGGAGGTTTTATTTTCATGAGTCACATGTTGGGGGGTCATTTATTCAACACAGAGGTTTCTGTATTTTGACCAGGAACAGGAGAGGGTCATAGATATCCATTGCTTTGCAAAGACTTGAAAACAAGGGCAAAATCTTCACCCAACTGTTGAAGGTGTTCATCCACCTCCTTCTCAGTACTGGGTGAAGTTGGCTAAGATGTGCTCGTGATTGAAGGGTACATACTCAGCCACCCCTAGAAAGAAGAAGAGCAGAACTTGAGGTGACCATGGTGCACATAACGATCCCTGTTCTAACGGGCCTGCCCATTAAATGCTAGAGCAGTAAAATCACCTAGAGAAAAAGCAGCTGTGCCGTTAGTCTGGAAGAAACAAGGAATTGGGACTTAGGATATTCTTGTTTCCAGTCTCTAGGTCACCACTCGTGGAGTATGTCTTCAGTTGCAGCCCTTAAGATGTCCCAGCCTCTTTCTCCTCAGATTGTGTCTTATTTACCTCTCCCCTTGCTGAGACAAAATACCCAACTCCTAGAGTTAAAGGAGGAAAGGTTTATGCAGCTCACAGTTTGCAGAGGTTTCAGTGCATAATTAGTTGGCTCCAAGGGTGGCATCAGAGAGGAGAAACAGCTCATGTCTTGTAGGAAACAGCAAAGGCAAGCAACTGAACAGTGACAAGCACCGTCTGTCCCTTATATCCTTTCCAGGCTACCTGCCCCCAGGGAGGGTATCATTTACACCCTTAATTCTGGCATTGTACCATGACTCAATCCCAACATCACATTCTTGAACCTGGCAGAACTGAGCTAAACCATCAGTGAACTAATTTAGTAATCACACACCCAGGATCCAGCTACCTCTGAAAAGCTCTACATATGACTGCATGAGGCTTTGGGGCACATCTAGATACAAGCCACAACAGCTAGGAATTTCTTCATAATATTTCTTCTGAAGACTTATCTTCAGGAACACAAGTAATGATTGCTGCATGCCTGGTTCAGTACCCAATGGGTAATATTTGTGCAATAAGTTATTATGAAAATGGCTTTGTAGGCCAAAATTAGAGCATTTCACATCAATTTTTGAAGATATTGAAAGAAATAAGAAAGGGCAGAGAATTGACAATTCTTGTTTCTCATGACAGAAAGGATATGTGTTGACAGCATCTATTATTTTTCACATAGTTCACACAACAGAAAGAATGTTACTCTCAGGCCCAAATATTTTATTGGGTCTCAGAGGTTTCTCTTGTACCCTCCTTTCTCCTAGAGAAGACAAGTACATAAATGGCAAACATGAAAATACACTGTGCCAGGTGTGGCGATACACATCTATAATCCCAACACTTGAGAGGCTGAGGCAGAAGGATTCTTTCAAGTTTGAGGCCCGTACAGAGTGACTTTAAGGTCAGTCTGCACGACATAGTGAGACCCTGCCTCAAAACAAATATAAGACTAATTTACATTACCAGGGCAATTACTTAAGAAAGGCAGTAGAAAAATGAAAGCCAATAAAAAATAATGAGCATTTAAACATATTTCATGCATCAGGTACAATAATAATTTAAAACATTATTTCTAATCCTCACAATAAAACATGAAGTGGTAATGCTGTTTCCGTTTTATAGTTGTAGAAACTGAGGCCCAGAGACAATGGATTACCTGAATATGTAGTTTGTAAATAAGAAAAACAGCTCCAAGTCTTGTGTGACCCCAGGAGCTTTCTTACATGCTTTTGCTGCAATCCCACAAATTCCAAGTTGCCAGGTTCTGTTAACTGTATGATAGATGCTAGGAAGGACATCAGCTACACTCTTAGCTGGGCTATTACTTGATCTGCCTTTACAATTTCTCCCCTGTAATGACTAGTATCAGCTTGACGAGTTTACATCACCCTGAGACAGAGGCATGCACCAGTGCTATTTAACTTGGAGGATATTGTAGTATTTGTAGAAACTTTAATGGATGCTAAGATTTGGCTGAGGCCCAAGGTTTAATCTCCTATTTTCTCCACCAAAACATGCAAGCACAGCTATTCTTTTCATTAGAAATTTTAAAAGTAATACACACAAAATGGTGAAGAATAAGTTTCCTTCTCTGTAAAATAAGAGTCACTAATACATATAAAGTTCACTTATCTACCTAACAATTATGTGTATGCCTATGTATATGTGTATGTAACTCAGATATATGATTGTAACGACATGTACACTCTGACAATTATTTATTGATTAAATAAATGAAAGAGTTAAATAATTAATAAACACAGCCTTCAGACTCCAGAAGTGACCAACCTCTTTCTTTTCCTTACCTGCATCCAAAGGTGTCCCATTACTCAGGAACTGCCAGTAAGTCTTGTGATTGGCGTTTTCAGCAATGTTATTGATAGAAGTAACCATAAGACCCCAGGATGTCATCACTGTTTCAAATCTAAGCACAGAAGCACATGTGATTGACACCTCACTTTAGGTCTGGCTATACAGGGTGAAAGCATAGTGCCATTCATAAGTCCTCTAAACTGAGGAAAAATCATGCCCAAAGGAGAAAAATACAGATGATTAATGAATATGAAATCACCTCACTTGATATTAAATGAAATTAACATGAATTCTTCCTAAAACACAACTTAAAAGTGTTAATGCCCAACAATGAGTGAAAAAGTAGGTGAGTGATTGAATATCCAAAATCAACATTTGAAAGTTACCAAAACAATACATTTTTAAGGATTTTCAGTAAAATCATTAACATTTATGTAGTATTATTAAGTGAACAGATGGTATAGAATTTCACAGAGCTATCTGTCCCGTGTAGATGAACCACAACCATTTGTGATATGCATAGAAAAACTTTTAAAATAGCAGTTGTTTTGAATGAACTGTAAATGATTTAGTTTCTTCTTAATAATTTTTTGTGAAATTTTTACTACGCATATTTCTCATAGTTACAATCCAGCAAAGGAAGTTCAGGTAACATTAAACCTAGGCTTAGAGGAGTAAGTACATTTGGAGGCTATGAAAATTAAATCACTCCCTTTCCACTAGTTGGTCCTGTTCCTGACTTTTCCTAACCTGAGATTTCTCCAAGCTTCTTTGCTGTTTTTCCTTTTTGCAAACAAAATGATTCCCCAATGTTTAACATTCTGTGCTTTCCCTCTCTGACGGGAACAGAAAGAATGCAAGCTTCAGAGTCCATCCAGCTGGGGCTTGGCTCTCAGCTCCCTCAGTTACACTTTATGTGAGTTTAGGAATTTTTTATTAATAAACCTTTATTGAAAAACAACTATGCTTCTACTTCATGGTGACAAACAAAACAAAATGTATCACATACAGGAGTTTTAACATATGAAATAATGATAAATCTCACCACAAAATTTATAACACATATACAGAAAACATAGAGAAACTGACCATTTCAAGTGACACATTTTGAAGTGAAATACTTAAAGGTAACAGTTTCCCAAAAACTGATTTGAAAACAATTAAATGAAAATTCCCAGTTTTTCCCAAAGAATTGGCAGTCTTTTCTGAAATTGATGTGAAGATCCAAAAGACTTGAAATCATTAAAACAATTTTGAAAAAGAAACACAATTTGGAAGGCTAACATGATGTTATTTGTAGAATTAATATACATTTATAATATCTTGTTTACCCTTTCAGCTTCTCACATTAGAGAGACACCACGATGCTTGCATATAGGCTTCTGATTTATTTCACTTATAAAGATGGTCTCAAGTTGCACCCATTTACCTGTAAAAACCTGCAGTGTATCCATTTTATGATTGAGTGCTACTCCATTGCATAAAAAGATCACACTTTTTTCATCTATTCCTTGGTTGATGGGCATTTGGGTTTCTTCCAAGATTTAGCTATTACTAATTTTGCTGCTATAAACATGAGTGCACATATATCACTGTGGCATGATGTTTTCAGTTCTTCTGGGAAGATACCGAGAAGGAGAATAGCTGAGTGGAATGGGACCTCTAATCGTAACTTTTTGAGGAATTTCCACACCGATTTCTACAGTGGTTGTACCAGTCTACATGCCCACCAGCGAGGGAGAAGGGTTCCTTTTTCACTGCAGCCCCACCAGCATTTGTTATTGTTTGAATTCTTAATGACAGCCATTCTTTCCAGGGGGAGGTGGAATCTCAGTGTTGTTTTAATTTGCATCTCTAGAATAACCATGGATACTGAACATTTTCTTTTAAAATATTCTTTAACTTCCTTGGAATTTTTAACTTGCTAGTAATGAATTTGATTCCCACAAAATTAATAGGTCTTAACTGCCTTACCTACAAAATGGGGATAACTGGAGCTGTCTCCTGATCCTGTTTTGTTTTGTTTCCGAGCACATGCATCTGCCTCCTCCTGCTTACACATCACTGTCACATATCTTGCTCATCCTGACCTCTTCTTTTTAGCCTCCTCCAAAAGCCTTCCAGGTTTCTGTTTTGAACGCCTTCAGTGAAACAAGCCTCAGGATAGGAACTCCTCTCTGAAAGATGGTCTTTCTTCTCAACGCTCCTGTTAGGAGTTCAGAAGCTGTGCGTTCTTGACCCCAGTACTTGGCACGGTCTGTTGATCCTGGGTCGTGCCCTTGTCATGTTACAGCTTCCTGAGTTAGTGGCTCCCAGCTTTTCTCCCGTCCTCTATCCCCACAGCCCAAGTCACACTGCAGGGTGGATTTCCTGGCTCCAAATTTGCAGTGCTTTCATTTGCATTTCTCTAGTTGCTGGTGGTGTTGAACAATTTTTCATGTATTTGGGGGCCCTTTTTTGTTTCTCTTCTGAGTTCATTTCAGTTCCCCATTTTTTGACTGAGACTTTCAGTTTGGAGGTCTAATTTTTTGAAGTTTTTGATATATTCTAGATATTACTGTGGAACTCTCCCGAAGGACTAGTTGGAAATTTGTTTTTCCGCTTTGTAGGTTATCTCTTCATTGTTTGTGGCTTCCATTGCTGTGCAGAAGCTTCATAGAATAATGGAAAAAAAATGTGATATTGCTGACTTCAATTTGGAGCCTTATACAGAACCAGTACACACAGTGTATTGGCATACACAGTACTCTGATATAAAGAAGGACAAAATTCAGTTATTGATAGGAAAATGGATGCTCCTTGAAAATGCAATGTTAAGTAAAATAAATTAGACTCACAAGTTTAAAATCATACAGTTTCTCTCATGGGAGAAATTTAAAGCATAATAAAGAGCAAAATAAAAGAGATAAAAGGCACCAAGGAGACAGATCAAATGCAAATGGACAAGGGAACAAGAGATGGAGGGAACAGAAAAAGGACAGCAAGGGGAAAGGGACATAAAATACTCAGTTGTGTCACAAACATGTGCCAAACAGCCACGGGGAAAGTAGCTATTATGCATCTCAAGCATGCACACACACACACACACACACACACACACACACACACACACACAAAAGAAATTAAAGGAAAACACACCACACAGTAAGAAGGCTACCTCCTACCTGGGGTCTCAGGCCCCTTGCAGTCTCAGCCAAGCTTCTTTTCATCCCGCATTCTCTTCCAGAGCAGCTGGCTGTTCCCGGACCCCACATTCCTTGCTCACTACTCCCTCAGATGCTTTTCTACAGCCTTGCATTCTTCCTGGAATGAACCCACCCCACATCTTCCTAAACAGTAACTAATCCCTGTGGTCCAGAGCCCAGAACCCCCTATGACTATTCTAACCTACCCTCTCACCTTTGAATTTCTGGAATCATAACTCTCTATTGCTTTGGATGATTTAACTTTTATTAAGAACGTCTTTTCTATGTACAACGCTGCAAGCTAACAAGCTGTTAGATAAAACATGGTAAGTGAATCAGGAGAAACATAAGAAAATGAAGGAAAAAGAGAGAATTGAGATTGGATTAAACCAAGGAGCAAGGTGAGCACCTCGCAAACACTCACTTGAACGTAGCACTTTTGCGCTGGGCTTCCTGTAGGACGACCAGGAGCACTGAACCCTCTTTCACGCTGACCTCGGTGGTCACATTGAAGAGCAGCTCCACCCCTCTCAGCTGGTTGTTTATGGTGTACATGACTGTGATGTTAGATGTTGATGTGGGAGCTGGGCTGGGAAAGATGGGGTCAGACGGTGGTGTCACTTGATCTGTGAAGAACAAAGTGGTCACATCGGTCAGGGATTTCAGGGTTTCTCTGATACATGCAAAACCTCTATGAGTGGCAGCTTATCCCTGAAGGGAGTGAGGGAAACAGTAAACTTCAGAGCATTTAAGGAAGCCCTTGGGCAGTTTATGTAGAGTCCTGGCAAAGACTTCCCAGCAGTCTCCCAAAAGTAGGGACATTCCCGAGAGCAGGGTAAGGAATTGGGGAGATGTGGTGTGTTTGATATGATTGGGATTGGTTTGCTAGGTTTTGGTCTCTATAGATTCTTCATTGTGATAGACAAGAGATTAATAACTTTTTTCTTGTCATAATAACTCCATGCAGTGTCAATGAATAACATGTTAGTAGTTGTTCAGAAAAAAAAATCAAAGAAATAATTACTTCTGGAATGCTCCAACTTTTGTGAAGAATATAATTTCTAAATGTGTATTTTTCACGTGTTTATTATATTTATAATTGTAGAAAATAGTGATATTTCAAATTAAAAAATTGGATCCCATGTTTCTACCTCATCCCTTTGGGGTTCTAGGAGGACAAAGCTTTTTTAGTTCCATCTCTAAGGCTTGGCTGAAATTTCAATTCTATTCGCCCAAGCCTCCCAAATAAAACCAACAATTAGTCCCTACTTGTTGTAATGTGTTTGTGCTGTATGTAGATTTAATTTTGTAATAATTTAATTTTGTAATAGTTTGAATTAAGTTTCTATTTAATACTTGAATCATCATTCCAAATACTGTAGCTCATTGTATACATATTTCATAGTTTGCAAAGAGCAGATATAATGAAATAGACATAATATTTGGTGGTATATTTGCCAAGAGAATGAATGAAAGTATTCATGCAGGTGAATGAATGAAAGAGTGAATGCAGGTTCCCCACCCCTAGGATCACACAACATGCTTCCCCATAGCAGGTGCTCAGAAAATCAAAGCTGATTGAAGTAGATGGGGGGCTGCATTCTGAGGGCTGAGTGACTGCCTGGGTGGTAGTGTATGCCCTGGGAGACAGGAAGGCAGATAACTTAGCAAGCTTGTGTGCCACTTAACATCGAACCCCCTTGATCCTTGGTGTGTATCGCTGCTTTTGGATAGAAGAAGAGGCTGATGGTAAAAGAGTTCTTACCAGAACCACATTTCACATGGGGCACATCTAAGTAGGTCTTGCCCTTCAGAGATGGCAGGATTTGGGCAACGGACATAGGATTCTGGAATTTCCCCTGCTTGATCTCATCGAGCACGGTAGCCATCGTCTTCTCACAGTCCCACTTCTTGCTGGGCTGCTCAGGGGTCACAGACAGCGCCTGGGGCGGGGGTGGGGAGTGGCAGAGAGACAGAGAGGGAGAGATGAGGCCCAGCTGAAAGTCAATCTCTACCGGCCTGTAAGGGGCAGACCTGGTCAGTAACCTTAGCGATCTTCACAATCCCTACCAAGGCCACACAGGGACTGGGATTACATTTACCCTCTGCGGTGAGACATGGGCATCCTTAGGGCCCTGCTCATCACCTGGGAGTCCCAGAGCAAACACCTGCATGGGATCAGCTTGAGCGATCACTGCTCAGGCTGCCGCACTTCTGAGCAGGCTTTGGGTGCAGAGCGAGGTGAGACCGAGACAGGCGAGCTCCCCAGAGCTCTGTGTGACACCCTGGCCACATACATGCTTCCCTGAGTTTCACATGGTCACACACAGGCTCTGTGAACTTCTCCCACAATTGTAATTGGTCGTGACTATGGGGCTGAGGCTCCATAAGCCTGGACACAGGGTGGATTCATGGCCCGGGCTGGGCAGAGCAGGGTGCCCTGTGCCTCGGTGTAATGGTTAGTGGGTCCAAGCACTCCCCAGCACACATTCACTGGGGAAGAGGGACCTTTACTCCTATGCTGTGGTCATTCAGCTGGGACCTGTGCACAAACACCAAATTGCTAAGAACTATCTTTATTAGACACCTTGCAGAAGTCATCCAGAATGAGGGAAAGCAGGGTTACAGGTGACAAGAAGAATGGTGTCTCATTTTGTCATCTGAGGCCTTATTTTAATGATTTCTGAAACCACCTAATCCTGGAATATCGATATATATGCAATAGTAAGTCACTATTTTTTCTTGAACAACAAGGACTTGGGTTCTGTCGCTTGCAAAATGAATCTCAGTGAATGCACCTAGCAACTTATTTTGCCCTGCTGAGTTTTCTGTCTTGTAGGTAAAATAGAAATCACAATTCCTGCCTGTCCCTGGGGGAGCATCATTTGATGGCTGGAAATGCATTCTGTAATGCAGGATGCAGCATATATCAGCAGCTCCTCCCTTTACAGCTGTGCCCAGCAGGGCCAGTGAATCATGTTAGGGGCTGAGATTTGTGATGACCAACTGGCCTGTAGCTGGGAATGGAGAATGAAAGGAGGGGAGTGAGGAATGGTCTCTCCTCCAGAGGGCAGTGTGCACACTTGGATGGTTGTGACAGGCGTGACCATCTAGGTAACTTTGGAAATCATGGGCTGAGTCTTGCTAAGGGCCACATTATGAGGTAGGTTGATTTAGGAGGCATCATCAGGCAGTTACTCCTTAGCAAAATCAACACCCTAAATTGCACTGAGTGAGAAATTTCCCTGGGAATAAAACATTACCGATGCCAGCCCTCTGGAGTGTTAAGCTGTTAGAAGCTGTTCATAACTCTACACGAAGAACTTTGTCAGATGCTTGGTCAGTGTAAGTTCCTATTTCAGGAAATTTGAAAGCAATACAGTATTTTTGGAAAAAGGGAGAAATTTTGGGACATGGGAATTGTTACTCAGGTCCCTTTGGGAAGGGATGAGGTATCTTGGGCCATGTGAAGGACACTGACACTGGGAAGTAGGTAAGTGAAGGTGAAAACATTTAATGACCCTACTGTTCTGCTATAGGAGACTGTGAATAGTGAGCATGACATTGATTCTGTCGTGCTTTTGGACATTGTATTTCATTTAACCAGCTGCTATTGTGGAGAAGATTAAATTCAGAGAAAGTCAATATTGGTTCAGGATGGTGGTGGATGTAGGATTGAAGCCCAAGTTGATAATGCTTTGAGTCCTTTGATCTCAATACCAGAACATTTTAGATTAGACAAAGGGCATATTTTAGACATCTGCTGATTTGAGATCTGAGAATCCCTGTGCAAATTCCACATAGGGACAGTAGGGAGGGTAGAGGGAAGTTATGTATCTTAACTGACAAGAAATCCACATGGCCGGTGGTATCTGCATACAGCTTATCAAAGGTTCCTAGCAGCTGATAAACTTCTAAACAGAATTCAGGAGCCATATTAGCAAGAGTCAACACTTTTCAGTCTGGCACTAAATTGAAGTGATGTTATCTTAAGAGAGTAGCTCTAGCCATCCCCACCAAAATTTTGTATTGATTGCATTCATTCCTTCCAGCATACATGGTTTCTTCTACTAGAATTGAGTACTGGGAGTAATTTTATGTTATTTACCCTTGGAAAAAATGATAGTTTCTCCTATGAAAAATTCTCATTGACCATAGCAGAACTGACATTGTTCTTAATAGTGACTTGTGCATGTGGTTCTTTGGGGTGGAAGGTTATTCTTATTCTTATGCTCATTGTGAGCTAATTCTTAGCTGCTTACACTGTTTCTCGATTTTTAATATATGGATATTAATTGTGGTCTCTATTTTTACACTGAAGAGACAGTTTCTTTCTCAGGGGAATCCAGAACTATACTAGTTTTAGAGCTAGCAGCAAAACTCCATGTTTCTCCCTTTTTATTAAACACTATAAATACAAACTTGCTTTTTTGATTAAGATGAAAGGTTGAATAAAGAATATTTGGTTGCAAGCCTGAATTTAAAAATTCAGTATTTTTAAGCACTTGCTTTACATATCATTATTTAGATAGTGTTATAACCTAAGCCCCCCTAGCTATCCTAAGGTCTGTTCTAAGGTATAAGCCCACCTGCTGCTTCCCCTCCCCTTCTCCCTTCAAATTTAACTAGGTTAAGTTTTAACTTCCTAAAGGCCATAAAACAAAGGCCTGAGGTAATAGCTCCTCTTCCCTACCCGGTAGCCCGTCACAAATTGTGTTAATTGTATTAGATTGTACATTCTTCACAAAAATAGCTTCGTTTATATCACAGTAATACCTGTAACTTGGCCTTACTGTAAATGTGTGTTTTCCTTTCCCTCTGGGCAAAAGATTGATATGTTAATCGATGCTCTCTGCTGTAAAGAATTGTAAAATCTTACCTAATTGATATGTTAACCATTGTTGCCCACTACAAATAGAACAGTTGTGGTGCTAAAGTAAGGTAACTAAGGTTGTTAATTGCTGTTAGACCTCTCTATTCTTTGCTAAGGAAAACAAGATTTCTTCTTATCTAAACTTGATAGTATGCAGGGAGACTTGCAATTGCCGTTTCTGCTTTGTAGTGCGTCACACCCCCACCCCCCTCCTTACATTGTGTGACCAGCAGCTGTTTGTGGATTTACAAGATAAAAAGTCCTGACTTTTAGCTGTGAGGTGCGCAGTCTCCAAATTGGCTTCCAGAGACTCGTCACCAGGCCTGGATTTTACCTAATAAAGCCTTTGCTTCCCAAATTTTAATTTCTTGCTTTCTTGGATTTTATACCAGGGTCCGAGTTATCACAATAGGACATTTGATAGTCAATATTTATTACCAGTGAACTGTTCGTTATTGATAACAAACCACAAATTTCTTGAGTATTTTTCTATTTTTTCCAAGGGAGGAAAATTCATTTATGTTAGATTATTTTCCTCCTATTATGTTGTTTGGAAATTGTATAACACTATTTTTATTCTTTTTCATTGTAAAGTAAAAAAATATTGTCTTTATGCCTTATTCATGAGGTAATGAGCATTGATTTGCATTTTACCAGCAGAAACGTGAAGGCCCAGGCACCACCAGGATGTGCTCTGAGTCGTGCTGGTTGGCATCTCCAGAGATGTCTGATACAGAGTATCCAGACACCAGAGTCCAGGCTGGTTGATATGGACTCAGTCTAGAGCACCCAGGGTGGCTTTACCTGCATGGCGAGGCCAGTACTATAAATGTCTCCAATGATGCCGCTGTCTGTGACCCGCCTGCTGATATTCTCCACAATGCTCTTCAGCACTTGGCCAAACAGGGTTCTGTAACTGTACCCAGAACCCACAGGGGTCCTGTTGTACATGCATGTCAAAGCCAAGGTCGCTACCGCTCCTGTGTCTGTGAATCACAGGGGAACAGGACCATTACTACCACCACCACCACCACAGTTGAACACCCACTCTTGCCATGTTCTTATTGCATTGTAGGCAGAAAATCAGGATGAACTGGGGAAAAGTCCCCACAATAATTTAAGAGATGAAAAAATGGAGGCTCAGAGAAGCTAAGCTGCCCAAGGCCACATGCCCAATAAGCAGCGTGGCCAGAATTTGAACCCAGCTTCTCAGCTCATGCTTTTATTTAATGAAGATTGTCACTGTGTTCAATTCCACTTCTCTTGCCCCAGTGTTTATCTCTCCTAAGGTCATCATTCTTCAAGGCCTGGCTGTCACCTTGTTCTGTGAAGCCTTCCTGGTCTTTTCAGTACAGCACGTAGTCTGTGTCCTGAGCTTCTCTAGCATCTGTTTTTATGTCTACTTTGCCATCTCTGTGCTCTCTGCTGTGCAACATTGCTCCTATGCTCTGTGAATGCTTGATGGTGGAAATGTGGTACCCCCATGGCATCCAAAGGATGGATTTTTTTCCATTTGTACATGATAAACATATTGAAGAGAATGAGCAAGTTCTGGAACAATAAGACCAGAACAAAAGAAAAATGTGTCCAGTAGCATCTTTTATTTCAGTGACATTTTCCTCCCACCCTAAGCAAAAAGTTGCATAATTTCATTAAGGATAATGTTTCTGAAAGCCAACGACCAAAGGTGCAGACTTCTAGAACTGGCCAAGATGTCCCAGCATCATGTGAGGTTTCTTATGGGAAAAGCAGACCAGACATGTCCTGCCCCCAGGAGAGAGACAGCAGAATATTGACCTGCTCTCTTGTCTGATAGAATCTGAAATTGGAGGCATTTCTGAGGAGGTGTGTATAAAGAGTGAAAGTGTGAGATACTACCACAGCTCAGAGAGCAGCAGAGGAGGAAGGGGGACCAGGACAGAAGGCCATGATACTGGCCTAAGGGGAGAGATCACTGCACAGTGAGAGGTGGATGGAAAACAGATGTGACATTGCAGAAGAAAAAGTATCTGATCAACACAGTCATATGCTTGCATGGCCAAGAAACCAGATGGTCCCAAGTTTCCCGGAAGGTTTAGGGTTGAAGTAGTAGCTATTTAATAGAAAGAGATGTAATAAGAAGCATCAAGGGGAACAGAGGGTGACACAGTGGCAGCAATTAAAGAAATGGTTTCATGGCAGGGAGGATGCCTGACTAACTTGCTATTTAATTTGGAAACAACTTCTGACTCGAGTGATATGTTTACTGTTTACTGTTGAGGTTTTTTAGTTTCTGGATCTTTCATGCATTGCCCTTGTTTCTACATGTTGCTGCCTCTTAAATCTGTGAAGTCCCCATCTGTACTCCTTCTAGGCTCTCAGGTCCCCCACGGGAAGTGCCCCACACTGCCCACCGGCTCCAGCATGGGCTCAGGGCAGCTTCTAGCAGTGGCCAGCCACTTACCTACATCAAAGGGAGAGGTGTTAGCCAGTAGCGCCTTGGCAAAGCCTGCAGCTACAGGCAAGGTGGCCTCTGAGTTCTTCTGGCACAGAGCCAAGACTGCCAGGCTGGGCCCATAGAAGGCTACAGCTTCTTCATGGGGTCCTGGAAATGGGGAGAGAGTATGTGTCAGAGTAGTGGTCATCACGCCAGGGACATCTGTGAAGGAGGAAAAGCCAAAGCTTTTCAAAAGAAATAAAGTCTATCTCTGAAGACAGGCACAGTCACAGAGAGGGATCACTGTGGCTCAGGATGAGGGTTTTAGCTAGCATTTGAATGGCAGGGAAGGGACAATGCTATCTGCAGAAAGGAGGTGGCCCTGCCAGTCTGTGTGGTGGGAGAACTTGGCTTTCAGGTCTTTTTTGGCTCAGAGGGGAGTCCCTCACAGGTGAGGCTGACAGAGTGGAGGGGACCTTGTGTATCATCTCTCACTTTCCACTCTCACCACCTCTGTCCTTCTCCTTCTGGGTTCCACATTCTCAAGAAGGTCCCTATGCCTCGCCATTCCCTCCGTTCCTATGAGGACTCACCTGGTGGTGTCCATCTCTGCATTTCTCTTTGTAGAACTGACACTTTGCTCGCAGTGTCTCTGCAGGAGGAGGTGAGGGCCATGATGTTGAGGGCAAGTTGTCCCATGGTTAGGTCTGCAGAGGAACAGACAGCATAGTGACACAGAGGGACAATCTCAGCTAGGGACCACAAGAGTTGGGTTGAGCTTCCTGCTTCCATCTCAGAATCATTTTGATTTTTAAAATAGTGCACTCACATAATGTTTTCATGTTTTCCAATAAAGATAGAAATATACTTAAAGGTATATTGAATCTAGGATCTTCTCTATGACTATATGACTCAATCAAAAATCGCTAGTTTATCTGGATAGAAAAGCAGCAAGAACACCCATCCAAAATATCTGTGGAAATCACCACTTGTAAAATAATTTAAACTTTATTATTCAAAGTTTAAATTATTTGCAAGGTTTAAATTATTTGAGTTGCTTTAAAGCAACTCAAATATGTGGAATAAATATCTTGTTGTCAATGCCATTGCTACTGTTGTGGCACTGAAGCATTCTAGAGGGTAAGATGAGGAAGAGTAACAAGGAGGGACTAAGAGTGTGTACGCAGCACACAGAACCAGAAGCCTGCTATTTTCATATCTATCCAGGGCTCATTCTATTTCCCTCACCTCCCGCCTGAATGCTGTGACTTCAGCCTTACTTCCTTCTAGGTCTTTTTCCAGTGTGCAGGGAGAGGAGCTTTAGATACTAACACTGGTGGCACTGGGATGCAGGGTAGCACCAAGCTGGGCTGGGGGGAATACTGGTCAGTGTTATAAGACTCAAGGAGTAGTGCTGCTCTTGGGTCTCTCACCAGCAGTGTCACTGGCAACAAGCTCTTCAGTCAGGAGCTTCTGTGCCTCCACATTGTAGGGTCCAGCCAAGTTCATCGCAATCAGGATGCTGGGGTTGGGGTAGGATGACCGGGTCACTGAGTTCTCCATGAGCACTTGTATGCGATCGACCCAGGGCTCCTCTTCTGAGGGGACAGCTGTGAAGACAAAAGCCACTTACCAGACCCCTCAGCACCAGCCCTCATCTCAGAAACATGATCTCCAGGTCTCTTACTTAGCCTCGGTATCCTAAGTAGTTGAAGCAAACCACAGGGAACATTGCAACTTTTTGTTGACAATCAGTTAGTCCTTATATTGTCTCAAATTCCCCATTCTACTAACTTTAAGCTATATAATAGTTCACTACCCTTCTATGTAATTCCTAGAACTTTTTAGATTGACTTCATTGTATGCATTCTCCCTCAGTCTTCCATAAATAATGTTGAAGATCTGGGATATCATGTATACCCAGCAAGCACCAAAACCTCCAGCTCTTAGTGGTCCTGGTCACAAGAACCATTTAAGCATCTGTACAGTAGCTGTCATTGTTGCATAAGAGTCACTCAACTGCTCTTAAAAAACACTTGTCACCTCAGTTCCCAGGGAGCTTGTTCTGTTAAATCAGGAAAGATGAGGTCATACACTAGCACCCACCTGCACTCATCCCCACTGGAACTCCTACAGTGATTGCTGTGTCACCCTCCTTCTCCTCAGCAAACTTCAGTGTCTGGGGTCTCTGCCTGTGCCCAGGGTCACAGTGGTCCTGTCCCATTGAGAAAGAGCTCCATACTCACAGCATGAGCTTCTGACCTGGGTAGAGGTCCCAGCTGTAGCCCAGAGATGGCTCAGGAGGAAGAGGACAAGCCAGGCCATCTTGCTCTCTCCTATCCTGTACCAGCCTCCTCACTTGTAGATCCAGAATTTGCAAGCGGGTGTTTCTCAACTTCTTTTATAGGTGCATCTCCTTACCCTATTGTTCCTAAGTACCCATGCTGACCTCACCTTCCCTAGGTAAGCAAATTACCATTTGCTTATCTATGTTTATTGGCAGTGTGGCCCTGTGATAGGTTTTGAAGGTGACTTCTAGACATTTCAGTCTTATGAGAGACTTAAGGATATGCAACAAAGCCAAAGGTGACGGTACATTCTTTCACAAATTCCTGGGTCATTGCCTTCGAAGTTTGGCTAACATGCAAGTATAAGAAATCTTTTCCTGGGATGTATTCTATGGATTCACGGAACCTTGTGCTTGTTTATCTGCAACCACTTCCTTGAGGTTTGGAAGGTCATACAGAGTCCAGCTCATTTCATGGTCCAGGGCACCCTTTTGGGCTCACAGGTGAGGCTCTGCCTGTAGCTGAAGTCTGACTTAATGCAATCAGCTTAACCAGAACCTGGGTGCGAGCCCAGACTCTGGGAAGTAGTTTGAGTTTAGCAAAAATAGTCCTTCGTTTTCGCCAGTATCACTTTGTTTAGTTTCTCTTTCCTTATTCAGGAATAGAAACAATTTCTAACACCCAAGGCTCTCAGATCTAGTCAGTAATTAGAAAATGTGGGATCAGTTAACTGTATCACTATGTACTCTCTTAAACTATACACCCGAATGTTTTTTATTATATTGTTATGTTTGATATTATTGTGTGTGAAGGTATGCTCAACTATTTCAAAGAAAAGAGACATTATGTTAGCTACTCTTGATGTCTAGTTGTTTTGTTGTGAAGTTCTGTGTTGCTTGCATTTTCCTGTTCTGATTTGCTTTGTTTCATTCTGTTTTCTTTTGTTCTCTTTAAAACAAAAAAAATTTAAAAACCTATACACCCCCCCTAAAAAAGTAGGCATATAATAAAGCTAAAAACTCCTCCCTATATAGAGAATTGGAATAGTCTCTTGAAATTGTGAGGAAGGGACTGACTCCTTACTGCATTTTAAATACATCCTTTGAAGGGAAATTCTCCAGTGGCTCCCACTGTAGAAGAAAGTAGAAGTCCTTTTAATGGCCTACATAGTGCTGGAGGATTGGCTTCTAGTTTCCTTTATAAATTCCCCTCCACCACATACTCTGTTTCAGCTGCATGCATCCTCTTGTGTTCCTTGAAAACTTTGCTCAGTGTTGTACTTGATAGCCTCCGGATGACTTCCCAAACAGTCTCCTGGATGGTCCTCGCTTTCTTAATTTCTCTGTCCAGAGGGAGACTGTTAGAAAGGGCTCCAGGCCCATGCTCATAAGACAGCCTCACCACCACCTGGCCACCCTGCATGCCTGTCCCTGCTGTACCAAGTCATGCTGTGTGTGTCATTCACTGTCACTTGTCTTCCTCCTCCCCAGAAGGTCTGCTCCAAGAAAGAGGCATCTTGCTCGCTATTCTATGCTTGGCAATTATGACCTGCAGGTCTGAATGAGTGAACAAATAAAACACGGTGAGTTCTAAAGCAGCCTTTTCCTTCTCAGGGAGCATGAGTAGCTTTGAGAGGTAGAAGCATATTGGGCTGCAGCAAACAGCTTCTCACATGACCTGTGTCCCCACTTCCTGATTGACATTCCCAGGAGTCCCCTTCCCAGGGTGTAAGCTGTCAAAACTCTGAGGCAGTTCATGCAGCAGGAACAATGGGCCCAAATCTCGAAGATTGACTACCTCTTGCTCACGATGAGGTTTCTCTGGCTCCTTCTGGCTGTTGCTGTGAAGAAGCGGCCAAGTTCTGAGCTGTCTTATGGAGAAGCCCATGAGATGAATACCTGCTAGAAGCTTCTAGTCCACATCTGGGGGAGAAGAATCCTGTAGACAGACCTTCCCCTGGGAGCTCTGAGGTGATCCATCTGGCTGCAGCTATCTAGAGACTAGGTTAGAGGTGACATTAAGTCCTCCTGACTCCTGGACCAATGGAGCTGTGGGATAAGAGATGTCCTATGTTGTTAGGCTTTGTGGTAACCTGTGACGCCATGATGCTCGGTGGGTGACTGAAAAACATGGTGAGTGTTTGCATTTAATAACAGTAAAAGACACCTTGCTATTAATCACAATCCCTCCTCACTTTTACACCCTCACCCTGTTGTCCTTCCCTCTATCCACAACAGCTCCAAATTCCTCTTTCTTGAGTGACTGTAGCTATGCTATCTTGGATGTATTGATGTCTTGAATTGATTCATAATGCTGACCTTTCATGTTCATTTTAACTTTGGGGTGGAGCCATAAGTCACATGATGCTAAATCTGGTTATAAGGTGGGTTGGGACATGTAGTAGTGTTTTTATGAGCCTGTCTTTCTGTTGGATGGTATTGGGTATCAGCAACCATTGTATTTTTATTTTTAAATTTTATCATACCTGGCAAGAATGATGAGATAAGTGTGTTCAAAGTGAGAGAAGGGGAATCCAGAGGAAGACTGTTTGGGTCTCTGTGGTGGTGGAACTTGTATGCTCTGGAAAGGAGCAGGGGACAGAATAATGCCATCTTCTCCTCCCTGCCCAGCCACCTGGCCTTGTCCCCATCTGTGGGACCTGAAAATATATCACATAGGTTGAACAGTAAAGGGGAATTAAAGTTACACATAGCACTGGGGTTGCTAATGAGTTGACTTTAGACAGGAGCATTAGCTAGGATTATCTGTGTGAGCGCAGTGTATCCATGGAGTCCTGAGTAGGTGGGAGAGGTGGGAGAGTGAGCAGGAGAAGCAGCCGTGCAGATGGACACAGAGGCCACAGTGATGGTGCTGAGGGCGGAAGGAGTGTGAGCTGTGGAGGGCTGGGAGTGAATGAACTGGGAAAGACCAGGGTACACTCTGAAGGGGATGCAGCTCATTCACACCTAGAGTTTAGCCTGGTGAGACCCATTTGGGATGTCCAATCTCCACAACCTTAAAATGATACATTTTTCTTGTTTTATATTAATAAGATTTTGTACTTCATTACAGCAAGAATACAGCTCTAACTAACACTGCATTAGTCACCAGCACGACTCTGCCCTTGGGGTCCACTTCCTGCTGGGGACCACTCCGAGGTGACCACACACCTGTCATGTCCTTGCTTCTCACCACGCATGGGTTTCCTGTAGGTTAACACTGGCACCCATGGTTGCCACAGAATATGACACAGCAGTTGTGCTTAACAAATACTGGAATTCCACAACAGGAACCCTGCAAACCAGACATTTCTCCATGAGTACTGTTTTGACACTCTGGTTAGCTCTTTACTGGGCTCAGCCATTTGCTTATTTCCCTATGCCTGAGATTTTGTTGTCAAAGTATACACACACGCACACAAGCACACATGCACACACGTATGCATGCACACTTACTCGTGTTTATTTTTCTACGCCTAATATTTTGATATTAAAGTTCTCTGTATCCCTGTCTCTCTGTGTCTGTGTCTTTGTTTGTCTCTGTCTCTGTTTCTCTCTGTATGTGTCTGTGTGTCTATCTCTGTCTCTCTGTCTGTCTCTCTGTCCCTCTCTCCTTGTCTCCCCCCCCCCGCCTCACGCTCTCTCTCTCTCTCTCTCTCTCTCTCTCTCTCTCTCTTTCTCTTTCTCTTTCTCTCTCTCTCTCTGTCTTCTATAAGGTTTATTTGTGGAGATTATTCTTCCCTATGGCAACAGATGGAAGTTTCTCTCCTTAGATTTAGTCTAGTTCTGACTTAACAGCCCTAAGCCTCAAGAGCTTCTCTTTAGGCAAATGTGACCAGAGCTAGGTCTTACTGACCAATGTTCATAGGGTGTTAGGCATGTCCTGCATCAGCCTTCATCAGTCTCTGAGATTAACAGTGCTTCTCAGGCAGAAGCGTCACTCTGCTCCAGTTAGAGAAGCCACTTGCTGGGGGAAATTCTGTCCTTTGTTAAATATGGAAACTGGAAGTGCTGGACAGAAATGCTAGAAAATATGAGAGACCATGTTTGAGCCAATTAGAAAAATTGAAGAACTAAAAAGAAATTGCTTTTTATTAACAATTCAATGTTTCCCTTTATTATTTTATTAGTATGTGTTTGGGGTTGGGATGAATGAAAAGGAAGGCCCAAAATCTGTTTCTGTGTGGAAGTCTATGTGATGAAGGTCCAAGTCTGTTAGTATTGGCTTCAAGGAGCCTCCACATCTTCTTCATTGTAAACCACATAATTACCAACTCCTGAAAGCAAGAAGGAAGCGAACTGGGTCACATAGTTTGGTCATGGGTCACCAAAGAGTGAGACTTATCTCTTCTGACTCTGTGGTCTGTTCCCAGAGAAGCTCACTCCTGCTCCCCTAAATGCTCTGGGCTGGTCCCTCTGTGCTCTTTTTGGTACATGTCCTCCTTACCTTCTTGGCTCAGGTTCTGCCTCAGCTTAAAAGTCCCCGTAGGTCTGTCATTATTGTTGGGCTTCAGGCCCTGAGCAGAGGTGATGAAATGGCCCCACAGTTCTCCACTGTGAAACTGTGGGGGCCAAGGCACAAGTTACATCTACTTAGATTTTCAAAGTAAACTCATGGGTATTCAGTACACTTTAATATACTTAAGAATCACCTGAATCACACTTTAATATACCTAAGAATCACCATTACAGAAATGTGAATTTCCTGGCTCCGTGCACAGATAATTTCATTCTTAGATTGAGACCAGGGTCCAGGAATCTGCCTTGTTTATAAACAGTCCAGGTGATTATGATGTAGCGCTCAGCACTCTTGGCTAGTGGCCCACCCGTGGTTCTGCCCCCACCACTGGTACAACAGACACTTTGAAGTTAGCAGCTTATCAACAGTTATCAACTGTTGAAGACACAGAAGCAGTAGAAGAAAATGTGAACCTCATATTCCAGAGGCCACATAGGCTAATGGATTTTCTCTTAGGAAAGACAATCAGGAAACAAATAATTTGTCATTTCATGTTGTGTGTACTAAAAAATGATGGTCAATGTCCCAATTTCCCATTCTTTAGTTATCTTTCTCCCTTAATCCTGGCTGTGAGGTATGGATGAATAGCAAAGGTACCTGAAGTATTTCAAATGTATTTTTGTAGGATAGGGATCTAGCTCAGCAGTATAAGCCCATGCCTGTGACATCATGAATTTGATCCCCAGTACCAAAAAAAATTTAAATAAATAAATAAATATACTTTGTATTGGGTGCAGTTGTATTCTTGCTAAGTCTTTCAAAATCTTTGTAAATGTCTTAACCCTAGGTAACATTTGGACACACTCAAATAGTCTCATTCTTTTTCTGAGCTTCCTCCATCACATCTAGGAAGACAGAGCCAATGGGCATGGTGATGCTGGTGGAGTATAATTACTGATTTTCACAGAGTAATGGACGGATGTATCTAAGGGTGAGTTAAGAGGTGTGATAGATGTAGGCTTATGACTGGAGATATGGGAGTTCCCTGGCAGAGAAAGAAGAACAGAGAGAAATATTCAGAACATTAAAAATGATGTCAGAGTCTCCACACTTAGCTGATATCTAAGGATTCCTTTCCCTTAAAGAAAGATGGACTTGTTGCGAGTAGCAAGTATCACCAATTAAGGGGCAGAGCTCTCATATAACTAAGGCAGAGACTTCACAGGCTATGAGTATTGCCATTTGTCCCAACTCCCAGTTTTTTAATCAGTGTAGTTTCTCCAGTGGTCCATTTCTCAAGGACGGCCTTGATTTTTCCTGTTCTTTCTCTTTTTTGTGAAAAATCCAATGATGCTTGTTCATTTCCCCTTTTAAATTTAATACTTACCATACTCATAATCCTACATCAATTATTTCACTCAACCTTACAAAAATCAGTATTAGGTACTGTTATCAGTTCCCATTTTTTTACTTTAGAGCTCCCTAATTTGTAAGTGGTTGAATCAGGAATGAACAGAGACTAAAGGAAGTGTCTCCTTTCTTCCAACCTTGTGGCAAAATTATGTCTGAATAATTGACTCATTCCTGGTTTTTATTAGATTACTGCCACATTCCCTCCATGCAGATGTCTTAGTTCCCAAAGGGGTCACTGACTGGGAAGAAAGGAAAAGTCAGAAGCATGATAGGCAACTTCTTTACTTTGTTTAGAAGGAGAATAGGGCTCAGATCTTGTGTGTCCAACAGGAGACATGCCCGGGAGTCAGACATCATTTAATCAAGTCCACCTTGCAGTATTTGACTGGGAAGCTATGTCTACCACTCTGGCAACAAATCCTCAGGGATTTGTAGTCCTTGGTGATGGTAGAAGAGCTGAATTTAGCAAACTGTTATGCTTGCTTATTTGGACATTTTGTTCCCTTGGGACAGCTATATCACACAAACTTTTGATTGAGTGATGCTGAAAGCCAAAAGGCAGCTTACTCTTTAGGTCTTATACCTAAGCGACTGGCACAAGAAGAGTCTTGGCTGACATCCAGGTAGGTCTTCCCCACAAGGGCAGTAAGATAGGAGCCTCAGCAGCTGGAATATCAAACACTCCCTGAGAAATCTCCTTAAGTACTGTATCTAGAGTTTGTTGGCAATTCGACTCACTTTCTTTGTAAAGTCTGATGAGATGAAGAACGTCTGATGAGAAAGAGGAAATGAGAGACCCTTCCATGAGGGGGACAAGGCTACATCTACCTAACTCAGTAAGTATTTTTTTTATTTAAAGAGAAAAACAAAACTAAACGAAGCAAGACAGTAAAAGGCTAGAAGCAACACAGAGTTTCAAGAAAAAAAAATACAGTAAGTGTTCACCAGTTAATAGATCACACATTGTCAACTTACAAACAGCTGTCCAGATTACAAAATTAAAGCATACAAAGTGGAGATTAATACAGTGAGATTGCAGTCAGTTCTGTTCAATGATCCAAGAAAAACTCAGCAATATGGTTCTCTTTCCTACACATTTAAATAAACTTGCAGTTATATCCTTGAGATCACTTTCCTTCCTCTCTTTTTTACACTAACAATCGCGCATTTTAGTTTCCATTACTTCCACAGTTTTTTTAACTTTTTCTTTGAAGAGGAAAAGAAAAAAGTTTGAAAAAAAAGGCCAAAAAACAAAAAAACAAAGCAAGACTTACTGAACATTGAGTACTCAGGAGGCAACTCACTTAATTCAGTTATCATTTCTGCAAACAAGAAGTTTATAAACTAGCTTGGATGGAAAGGTAAGGAATTGCTTAATAACATAAGCTACAGTGGCTTCAATGGAAATAGAGAGTCCCAGCCATACTCACTTCTCTATCCCAAGTGCTGAAAGAATCACATAGGAGGCTCTCAATCAATACAGTTCTCAGGTGAACTGTTGAGAAGGAAGCCCTGAGAAGAATGCCGTGAAAGGTGTGACATGGTACAATCTTTCTAAAGAGGAGAGGAGCTCATACATGTTTCCTGAGGCTGAGGAAAGGCTTCGTCGGAGAAGGCAGTGATTGAAGTAGGCATGGAGAGTCCCAAAGGGCCTTGCGGAGCTCTGTGTAAGTGAAGGTCTCATATAGAGACAACAAAGACAGGACCTGTGTGGTGAGGGCGCCTGCATTTTTACAACCCCTGCCCCGAGGAGTCTCTTCCTCCTCTAGGACTGGTGGGTAAAGAACATGCAAGATAACCATGGAGGAATAGCCTGGCTCACAAGCTCAGGGGAAGGCGTGTAACTTCCTCTGACTCTCGTCATTTGTTTGAACAGAAACTGTCTCTGCAGAAGAATGTAAGCTCAATGAAAGGGACAGAACTATGATGTCATGGAGGGTCCAAGGGCAATCGAGTAAGTGATGCAGTGAGCAATAACACCTAACATACGTTGGGCTTGCATATGTTGCTCTGTATTTTCCAAGAAAAAGACACTTCAGTTTTTCTTGAAGATTCTTAAACTGATCAAGTGTCAATAAGCACTCATTATACCTTAAGAGAAAAGCAAACCTGATCCTATTATACCTCCTCTTCAGAGCTATCTTACAGGCAGTTGGTTCTCAGGCTTGCCAGGCAGCAGTGCCACCTGTTGGGCTTTCAAACAAGACCAGGGCTTGTGCCTTGCCCCTCCATTTCTGTGTCTAGCGCTGGCAAGGGATTTAGACTTTGCATTTCCTCAGAGCTGCCTCAGATGATTCAGCTATGCAGCCAGACTGGGAGAGTTCACATGTGGCAAAATACATGACACTATTTTGTACCTTTTCTTTTTTGTCCTTGCCATCCTTTCTCCTGGTAAAATCCTCTCACCACCAGTCTCACCTCAGGCAAACAACTGTTAAAACCAGCGTGTTGGTGGGTTTTGAGCTTTACTAGCTCTCTTCCTGTATCTGCCTCTTGATGTTGAGTAAATTGATGAATGAATGTGGAATTAAAGTGCTGGACCTCAGGGAATGTGTGTAACAGGTGGGTCCTGGGAAGGGATTTTGAGAAATGTCAAGGTTCCAGGATCTCCAACAGCAACGTTTTGTGGCTGTGTAAAATTAGGCAAGTTACCAGCCCCCTGTAGCAGAGCCGCCTCTTCTAGGAAATGAAACTAATGATTCTTTCCTGATTGTGTCATTGTGTGCATTAGTAAGTTAATAGTGCCCCACATAAACTAGCTTCTGTACCACCACTGCTGCTTGCTACTTCTGCAGCAATTATCTTATTTGGGAGCACTGATGCATGCTCAAAAGCAGGATGCACAGCAGAGTGTAAAACTGCATGGGATAGCACAAGACAGGTAAATTTCACACTTCACAAGAAAATTGTAGTTAGGGAGGAGAGACAGCGCTCCCAAGATCTGGCCATGGTGGGACTTAGGCAGCTTATTTGCCCACTTATTTGGTAAGCATCCCTGGCGCGGGCCAAGAAGAAAACTAGCGGCTCCTGTGAGACTACCAGTGCTCAGTCTGTGAATCAAACACACACACACACACACACACACACACACACACACACACACACACCGTAGCAACTGAGGTTAGATGTCTCAGCATCTCTTGGGAGGATGACCATATGCAATATAGCAAATATGGGGGATTTCCTTCTATCTTCAGTTTGAAGGCAAATGTTGTTTTCACTGGTTTTTTTTTGTTGTTGTTGTTTATTTTGCTGTATTCAATACTCTCTTTCAACTGGTTTTATAATGTTCTATTTTTTGGTTTGATTTTGCTATACCTAATTGACTGGACAACTATTGTGAAGATAATGAGATATACTATGATACCTGTTACTACTATCCCAATATCCTGCTGTGAAGTTCTGTACCAATTCCACTGCATTGTCTCAATTGGCTTTGTTCTGTCTTGTTCTGCTGTATTTTTACTACCTTCAAAATAAAATTAAAAAGAAAGAAAGAAAATTATAGTCAGGAACAGCCTCACATAGCATTTGGATATGGAGAAGTAAAGATTGACGGTGAAGGGAATGCATTTCAGATGAGGTGGAGAATCCAGTGGAGATTAGCATAGAAACACTGAATGGAGAAGATGTTAGGGAACTCGAAAGAAAGCATCGAGGCATCACTTTCCTCCCTGGCTCATTTCTCCTCTTCCTGTTTTACCCTGTGACTCACCTGCAAAGCGGCTCCAGTGCTAAATGTGTTTCCAACAAGATCATTTTCTTTTTTTCTCAGACAAAATCATTTTTACCAGTGACCCTATATGATTATAGAGGCTGCTTAAATCTTCTGTATCTGTCTCTGTCTGTCCACATGTTACAACTGTCTTCACACATGTCAGGGCCAAAACAGCCATTGCCCTGGTGTCTGTCGGGAAGGGAAACTCTGGTGAGCCTCTACACAAGTTTGTCCTGGACTGAGGGAATTTCTGGGATGTGGGACTTTCAGTGCTCTGAGAGTGACAGAGCTGGAAAATGCAAGATGGCTGGTTGCACTAATCGATGACAGGGGAGAAGGATTTCAAACATTCCTGCCATACCTGCCCTTGAATATTTTAAGCTTCTGCCCTGTGTCAAGTTGCCAGGTGCCCCATACTTAACCCTGCATTTCATATTATGGCTGTGGATTTGTGAGTGCATGCCTGTGAATAATCTTCCACTTTTAGATGCTGGTTGCTCTTACCTTTTCTATTTTTCTCTAATATTCCAGCCACATTGGCAAAGGAATGGAGGAAACTCAGGATGATAGACTAAACAATCAGTCCACTGTACTGAGAAGGAACTGGCGGTTAGCAGAAGTCCTCATTAGTGGCAGGATGGGGTTCCTTATCCGGCTTGGGACTTGGTTAGTATAGCATCTTCCCTTCCTGATAGGAAAAGGAGTATGAGAAAACTTGCATTTTCCTCTCTGAAATACTGAATGGTGCCTCCTTTCCAAACCTCTTGTGGAGAATGGACTTGCATATCTGGATCCCCAGTCCCTAGAGGCTGGATACTGTGCTGGTGCTGGCGGTCCAGAGACTTCTTGTTGAGGGTGAAAGTGACATGAGGGTAACTGGTCCTGCTCCCTGGGATCCTGCTCTGTGTTGATCAGACTTGATAGACTTTGTCACAGAAGCCACTTTATCTAGATCACTGCAGCAAATCAGAAACAAAGGCAATTTTAGTAAAGGAATTTCACTTTCCCAAGCTCTTACACTTCCTACAATGTTTCATATAAATATTCTCATGCTTGCTCCTTGTTTCATAGCTAAAATGACCAAGGAATTAGGTCTTTCTGTTGTACCCTATATCCATAAAGAGGCTAAACTGTCATCTGTTATCCATTATTCCCCCTCAAAACATTCTCTTCTGAGAGTAGTAGGGTAAAAAAAAAAGCACTGAAAATGAAAATTTGAATAATTTTCATAGAAAACTCAAAGTACATAAAAACTATTGACCAGGACCTCTGTGTCAAGGGGATTAGATGGTGACCTACTACAAGGTGGCAATGGAAATAATAATTTTTATTTTCAGGAGCAAAGAGTTCAGCAATCTGGGTGGTGGAGCATCATCCATGGCACAGGCACAAGGTCAGTACATCCAAGATGAGTGGGGAGCACTTAGTAAGAGTGATCATATGCCTCAGAAAGACAGTGAAGAGAAGAAATGCTTTACCCAGAGACGTGGAACTGGGGAGACACAATTTTTAATCTACTATTGGTTACTCTATTCCCATTTGGCTATAGAGAAAGGAGTGCAATAGATGGGAGAGATCACCCAGAAAATCAGCAAACCTGAGAAATTTAAAGGCTCTTTAGGGACACCAAATCCAACTCCACTAGCTTCATTTTTATTTTTTTTATTTTTTTAAGAAAAAAAAAAACAAAATAGTATAAGGGTACAAGTAATACAGAACTTTAAAAAACAGTAAGAAATCACTAGTTAATAGATTACATATTGTCATCTTAGAAATAGTTGTACAAGTTACAGGATTAAAGCATTCAAACAGTGAGACTGCAAACAGTTGTGTTCAGTGATTCAACAAAAATTTAGTAATATTGTCCTCTATCTTAAAACACCTAAACACACTTGCAGTTGTATGATTTAGAGCACTTTTTTTTCCTCTCTTTTTGGCAACAACATTTCCACATTTTGGGTTTTATTACTCCCATAGTACATATTAATTTTTGGAAGATAATAAAACCAAGTATGATAAAACAAAGCAGTCAGTCAAAACAAAGGATAGACATAGTACATGATGTAAAAACAGAATACAGGGTAATCAACAATGGTTACCATAATGCCTCTTGCTACCTTAAATGCCTATATCATTAGGTATAATAATATTGAACAAAACTGTACAGAGCAAGTACAATAAAGCCTAAACAATGGAAATATTACAGGACTTCAAAAGAAGATAATAGTCAAACCAGAATGGTATCATACTGAATCTTATTGCCTGCAGAGTAGTTGCCTATACTCTCAAAACTTGATACTATCAAACAGAACAGAACAGAGTAAAATCAGTCAAAACAAGATGGTGGAAGCAATACATGGATTCAAAGTTAATAGGAAATCAAAATGGTTACGATAATATATCCTGCTAATTTTTTTTTATTTTTCCCTTAATTGAAAAATAATAATAAAATAAATAAATAAATATTTTTTTAAAAAGAGGGCAATGGAGATAAAAGAGGACATAAAAACATAACAATACAGCTCAAAGCATAACAATTTCAGCAACCTAGTGCTTCACTACAAGAAAACCTGACTTAATAGTAGTTACCATAATGTCTCTTTCCTTGGAGTATTTGAGTATAACTTCATATACTATGTATTCAAACATATCCAGGCAGTGTAAAACCATTCAAGAGGATGAAAGTATTACAGGGTATTTAGAGCCAGCTAATGGAAAGCAATGGTTTCTACATTATCTGTTTGCCTCTAAAAACTTTTGTTTATACTATCACATATAATAAAATCCAGTGAGATGCAACATGATAAAACCAATGGAGACAGAAGAACAACAGGCTTCAAAGCCACATAATGGGGGATCATGAGTACCACATACTTTTATATATTTGAATCACTTCTTACAATAGGGAAACTATTCAGTATTCATACATGTGAGTTTGATTTATTTCACTTATGAGTACGGTCTCAAGCTGCGTCCATTTGTTGATAAATGTCTCAATGTGACCATTCTTTATAGCTGAGTAGTACTCCATTGTATAAAAATACCACAACTTTTTTATCCATTCCTCAGTTGATGGACACTTGAGTTGTTTCCAAGATCTGGCTATTACAAATTTTGCTGCTTTAAACATGGGTGCACATATATCACCGTGGTGTGATGCTTTCAGTTCTTCTGGGAATAAGCCTATAGGTGGAATAGCTGGGTCAGATGGAATCTCCAATCCCAACTTTTTGAGGAATCTCCAGACTGACCTCCACAATGGTTGCACCAGTCCACAATCCCACCAACAGTGCAGGAGAGTTCCTTTTTCCCCACAGCCTCTCCAGCATTTGTTGTGGGTAGTTTTGTTGAACTTGGCCATTCTTTCAGGAGTGAGATAAAATCTCAGTGCAGTTTCAATTTGCATTTCTCTAATGACTAATGATGATGAACATTTTTTCATATATTTATTTCCCATTTGTATTTCTTCATCTGAGAATTGTTTATTCATCTCAGATGCCCACTTTTGGATTGGGTCTTTGAATTTCGGAGGTCTGATTTTTTTTAATTCTTTATATGTTTTAGACAGAAATCCTTTGTCTGAGGGGCAGTTCACTAAGATTTTTTTCCCAGTTTGTGGTTTTTTTTCACTATGCTGGAGATTTCTTTTGATGTGCAGAAACTTTTTAATAAGAGGCGATCCCAGTTATTGACTCTGGGAAGTATTTCACATGCGGTTTGAGTCCTGATCATGAATTCTCTACCTACACTTATGTCTTCAAGGTTTTTACCCAATTTGTCTTCCAATAGATTTAGTGTTTCTGTTTTAATATTCAGATCTTTGATCCATTTAGATTTTCATTTAGTATATGGTGAAAGGCATGGTTCTAGTTTTAGTTTTCGGCAAATGGAGAGCCAGTTTTTCCAACACCATTTATTAGAGAGACTGTCGTTCTCCCAGTGAACATGTTTGGCTCCTTTATCAAAGATAAGGTGGTTGAGTGTGTTTGTAGTTGTGGTTGTATCTTCTAATCTATTCCGTTGATCTTCAGCTCTGTTTTCGTTCCAGTACCATGTTCATTTTACTACAGTTGTTTTGTAGTATAACTGAAAGTCAGGGATTGTGATGCCTCCTGGCTTGCCTTTGCTGCTTAGAATTGTCCTTGCTATTCTAGATCTCTTCTCACTCCAGATGAATTTTAGGAGTGATTTCTCCAGTTCTCTGAGATATGTTGATGGAATTTTTATTGGGATTGCATTGAATCTGTATAAAGGTTTTGGGAGAATGGCCATTTTCACAATATTTATTCTTCCTATCCATGAGCAAAGGATGTTTTTCCATATTCTGAGAACATTTTCAATTTCATTTTTCAGTGTAATATAATTTTCCCTGTACAGGTTTTTCACTTCTTTTGTGAGAGCAATTCCTAGATATTTCATTTTTTTGGTTGCTAGTGGGGCTTCTCTTATTTCTCTCTCTGTGACTTTGTTATTAGTGTATAGGAATGCTATTGATTTTTGAGTATTGATTTTATATCCAGCTACATTACTGAATTTATTTATTATATCTAGCAGTCTTTCAATGGAGTTTTGGGGATCTTCTATATAGAGTATCATGTCATCTGCAAATAATGATAGCTTAACTACTTTTCCTATCTTTATGCCTTTTATTTCTCTCTCTTGTCTAATTGCTCTGGCTAGTATTTCCAGCACTATATTAAATAGGAGTGGTGATAAGGGACATCCTTGTTTTGTGCTTGATTTTAAAGTGAATCTTATTGCCATCAAAGTAGTTGCCTATACCCTCAAACTTGATATTATCATATAGAATGGAACAGAGTCTAATCAGTCAAAACAAGATAGTGGGAGTATTACAGGACTTCAAATCAAGTTAATAGCAAATCAAAAGTTACTATAATATATCCTAACTATTTTTTTATTTTTTCACCTTAATTAAAAAAGTAATAAAAAGTGAAATAATTTTTAATGAATAAGGGAGAGATTGAGATAAAACAGGACATAACAACATAACAATACAGGTCAAAGCATGACAGTTTCAGCAACCTAGTGCTTCACCACCAAATAACCTGACTTAATAGTAGTTACCATAGTGTCTTTTTCCTTGAAATATTTGAATATAACTTCATATACTACAGCATCAAACATATCAAGACAGGGTATAACCATTCAAGCATTATAGCTTGAATTCTGTAAGCATTATAGGGTATTTGGAACCAGCTAACAGAAAACGAAAAATGGTTTCTATATTATCTCTTCACCTATAAAAAATTTTGTTTATACTATCACATATAATAAAATCCAGCAAGATACAACACGATAAAACCAATGGAGACAGAAGAGCCTTAGTTTGGTGGGGCTTCAAATCAAGATGGTATTAAATCAGCACTAGCTATTATGATGTCTTGTTTTCTTCAAAATAGCTGTTCCTTTCATCACAGGCAATAATATCAAGCAGCCCAGAATACAGCCATTCCAATTAATAAGTGAAAACTTTATAAGGCTTCAAGGCCACATAATGGGGAATCATGATTACCACATACTTTTATATATTTGAATCATTTCTTACAACAGGGAAACTATTTGGTATTCACACATGCAAGTTTGATTTATTTTACTTATGAGTATGATTTCAAGCGGTGCCCATTTATTGATAAATATCTCAATGTGATACTTCTTTATAGCTGAGTACTAATCCATTGTATAGAAATATCACAACTTTTTTATCCATTCCTCAGTTGATGGACACTTGGGTGGTTTCCAAGATCTGGTGATTACAAATTGTGCTGCTATAAACAAAGGTGCACATATATCACTGTGGTATGATGCTTTCAAATCTTCTGGGAATATGCCTAGAAGTGGGTTAGCTGGAACAAATGGGACTTCCAATCCCAGGTTTTTTGAGAAATCTCCAGACTGACCTCCATGAAGCTTGTACCAGTCTACACTCCCACCCACAGTGCAGGAGAGTTCCTTTTTCACCACAGCCTCTCCAGCATTTGTTGTTGTTGTTGATCCTGGCCATTCTTTCAGGAATGAGATGGAATCTCAGTGTAGTTTTAATTTGGATTTCTCTAAGGAGCAATGATGATGAGCATTTTTTCATGTATTTATTTGCCGTTTATTTCTTCATCTGAGAATTGTGTATTCATCTCAGATGCCCATTTTTGGATTGGATCTTTGAATTTTGCGGGTCTGAGTTTTTTAATTCTTTATATGTTTTAGACAAAAGTCCCTTGTCTGAGGGGGAGTTCACTATGATCTTTTCCCAATTTGTGGGTTTTCTTTTCACTATGCTGGAGGGGTTTTTTTTGACATGCAGAAACTTTTTCATAAGAGGTGGTCCCAGTTATTGATTCAGGGAATTATTTCCCATGTGGTTTGAGTCCTGTTCATGAATTCTCTACCTACCCCTATGTCTACCCCAAGGTTTCTACCCAATTTGTCTTCCAATAGATTTAATGTTTCTGTTTTA